TTTTTTTTTTTATTTCTGACATTGAAAACTTTATTGGATTTTAAAAAACCACTTGTCAAGTTGCTGTTTTATGGGCGCTGTGTTTTATCAACTGACGACAACTATCAGATGGTATGGCTGAGAAACACTGCCATTCATCTAAATCCAAAAAGTAAGATACAAGCACACACACACGCTAAATAAAACACGTATTTTCTTGTCTGAATCTAAAGCCTAACAGCTTCCTGTTATCATTCTATCTCAGCAGAAAATTCAGATAAAATTATTTGATTTTTCCACCCTTCTCTGCCCCTTAAATTTTAGCTGTTAAATTTGTTTTGGAAATTTATTTGTTACAGTACAACCTTGATACTAAAAATAAAGCAATTATGTACAAGAAACAACGTACCCCACAGCTATAATTGTCGATTCATCAAAAATTTAGAAGAGATGATGTGCCGTCAACAAAATGAATGATTCCCAATTAAAAAACTAATTGAAAAAAAATTTTTTTCAAAAATCATTCTTTTGGCTGAAAATGAACACCGCTGGTTAAGTCCAATTGAAACTCTCCTTAGTAATAAATCTTTTTTGCATTTATTTCTGAATTATTCCCAACCACTGTTTTGTCGTTGGCTTTTTGACCAAAAAAAAAAATTCTTTTCCTCATTCCTCTTACAACCAATCAACTGCTATGTGAAAATTATTTATTGCAAAACACTTCTAAGAAACTGATGAAAACTTATTGGCAAAATGATCATCAAAAATGATGTCCTTTTTCTTATTGACTAAAATTGCTACCAAACCTTTGAAATAGAAGAAAACAGCTGAAAATGACCGCACTGTTGGGGAAACCGCTGTAAGAACGGAAACGTTATATGCTAATAAATTATACTAATTAGCTCTAAAATAGTTTGCGTTTCGTCCAGCAGCCAAAACTCTTTACAAATTTATCAGTTTTGAAAACATACTTAGGTGATTCCAGAAGAACCAACAGGCAGGCTGTCTACGTTTACTCTTGAATATATCATACCAATGAAACCTACACAAACCAGTACAATCTAAAAACACTTGAGGACGAAAAAAATTTATTTATATTACGATAGCAGTCGCTTTTTTTTATCAATTAGTAGAAAAAAAATATGTCTATTTCTGCGTGTAAAATAATTGATTAATAAATAAGAATATTGAAAATTTTAGACATTACAACTAACCAATTATTTCCAGACAGAAATTATCGCCGAGACAGAGTCAGGATCAACAAATTTCTGCAACCAGAACTTTTAGCTTTTAATTTGCGTTGTAGGAAATAAAGAA